AGCAAAACACAGATAGTCTATTGTGTAGCTTTTTACTTAAAAACAAGCAAAACACAAATAGCCTATTGTGTAGCTTTGTACTTAAAAACAAACAAAACACAGATAGCCTATTGTGTAGCTTTGTACTTAAAAACAAACAAACAGTAAGTGAGTTCTTTTTCATCCTTAGGTTCAAATAGATGAACTATTGCGTTAATATTAAAAATTCATAAACAATTCTACTGTAATACGCCACCTAGTGTTAAAGAATAAGTAAACGAAACCTTTATTTTCAAAAACTGAATCTTATTTTAATGTTATATTAAAATTTATAATCGTAATACTTTCACGGCCAAATCCGGTACTTTAACTTTGTTTTTAAGATGTTTTGATATGCATGCAAATGGACGGTATAAATTCAGATGGAACGATGGGAAACTCGACTTGTAAGTAGGAGTAAACTTATTGTGAAATACGTTCGTGTTACAGAAAAAAAAATCCTTTTATTGACGAATAAAACATAAAAACACATCTCCGGCATAAAACATTAAAAGCAAAACAGGCTGTTTGCAAATTGCTGTCTAGAAAAAAAAAATTTCATTCTTCAGATCGTTTGAAAGACTGCTGCTCTTATCCTACTACAAGTTATAGACTGTAGTTGTGCAATGACATCTATTTGTCTGTAAATTTATGTTTTATTGCACGGGAAATATAGAATAAGAAACGTGTTTTTTCTTATGGTAGACTAACATCAAATTAAAACAGAAAAAAAATGAAGTTATGTTAAGAAACTACCATTCACTCATGTTAATGGTGTGTAAATCGGTTTATTTTTTACATATAAAGAGGGATTTCAAGGAAAAGTAAACCTAATATACGCCAATAGTGAGTGGTTTTATGTATTCTAAGTGGTATCTTAAAAGTTTCTTCTCAATTATATATATAAATGTGTATCAAATAGTGTTTTTATTCACATATTCGTTATCGTCTATTTAATTTGGTTTGGACGTTTGTTTTATAAGAGCAGAGCCCTATTGGGTTATCTTATATGCCCACCTCAAAGAAAGAGAACTTCGAACATATATATGAAAAAACAAAATTGATTAATAGAAAATTCGGTTTTCAAGTACATATCACAGGTGTTCTAAAGATAAATTGTTGTATTTTCCGTCAAGTAATGTTGTTATCTTCCCCTGAATCACAGTATTATAGTAGCAGTTAACTGCTGTTTTTCAACCAATTGCTCTGGCTAGTTGCAAAGATTGTTCCGCGGAAACAAAGTTTGTTCCGCGTAAACATTAGTACCCAGTTATAACTAACAAAGACATATTGTAGTGAACATTTATTTTTTGATCGATTTGCAAAACGCCTTGATTAATGAAATATTTTAATTTAAAAACGTAATTGATACTGTTTATATGATCCTAGGCAATGTTGGGTAAGATATTCTAATTATGATACTAAAATAAGCTCAATAAACGTATTATTCTGGTCTATGTCTTTTAATTCAGGAGTTCGTTTTGTTTGTTTACGGCTAGAGGAAGTTTTTAACCTTATCTGAAGAACGCGCTTCTTAATCGCCAGAAATTTCTTTGAAGTTGTAGTAAATTATTTAAAAGATGTAAAACACAGGTTACACGATATTGTTAGTTGATTAGTAATTCTTTTACAGTTGTTTATTTATTACTGATTTACCGAGTTTATTAATCGGTTTAACTGTTACTTGAGTTTCGTGACTGTTACATTTGTGCTTCGAAACAGAATAATAGACGTAATCAGTACCGTATTCGTTTAATTGTAAGGACTGGACTTTGTACTATTTTTTTTACCGAATAATCCAAAATAATCAACCCAACAATATAAACCATCACGATAATATTGAAGTTTTATACATCACAATACTGAAACTTTTTATAACGGTTGTAATACCACTACAAACCAAGTTAGACTTAAACATGCTCTACTTGTTAAAATACTACAGTACTACTACACACCGACTCAGACAGAAACATGTTCTAGTGGGTATAATACTACTTTACCCCTAGAAAGTGGGAAACATGTTCTAGTTGTTACAATGATATTATATACCTAGTAAGAATGAAACATAGTCTAAGTGTCATAATAATATTACACACTTAGTAAAACTGAAACATATTCTAGTTGTTATAATACCACTATATACCTAGTAATATTAAAACATGTTCTAGTTGTAATAATAGCCCTATATACCTGTTAAGGGTGAAACGTGTTCTAAGTCTTATAATACCACTATACTCGTATACCTAATAATAATAAAGTATGTTCTTGTTGTAATAATACCACTATATATATATACCTATTAAGGCTGAAACATGTTCTACTTAATAATACTAAAACATGTCTAGGTATTATAATACCACTATATACCTAGTAATAATAAAACATGTTATAGTTGTAATAATACCACTATATATATATATATACCTATTAAGGCTGAAACATGTTCTAGGTATTATAATACCACTATATACCTAGTAAAACTGAAACATGTTCTAGTTGTTATAATAAAAATATAAAGAGGGTTGGTAGCAGTATGATTTATTTCTTATGTTCTTTACTGGGTATGTTTTTAGTTATGATCTATGTAGAGTGGTTTGATCAGAGGTTAATAAAGTTGAAACTTATTCCAAATTTTAACATTATTATATACCAAATACGATTTAAATCAATTCCTTTTTTTTTTAGAAATCCAACATAAACCTGATTTTAACTGTTAATATTCCAATATAAACCTGTTATGACTGAAATGTATTCTAGATGACATAGTGCTAATATAAACTTAGTCTGGCCCAGTTATTGGTGATTTCTATATAGAACCCAGATTATATCATTCTAAAAGCAGAGGATATTACTATTCCATAAACAATAGAAATATTTATTAATTAATATTTATTTATTAATACGTCAGTAATGGGGTGCAAAATATGCTTGTAAGTGTTCTAAATGTCTGGCTTTAAATGTCATTATTGGCCATAATGTTTGTTGATATCTGGCTTTGGACATATTTTGAAGTTTGGATTATAAAAACGCGATCACTTTAGATTAGGATCTAGTTGAAAATAACAACTAATGGTACGTCATGACTAGTTGATGCCAACTCTGACCAACGTCATATTTCATCGCCTTAGTTAGGCTTAGCGTAAGGACAATTATGGCAGAAATTTTCAATTAAAAAAAGGTATATTTTTACTACTTAGACAACAAAAAATCTAAGATACAACGTAGAGCACTTTTATATTTGTGGCATTTTTACGTTTATTGGTATTGTAGTTAATAAACAATCTGTACTGGTTCTTGCAATGTAATAACACATTATGTTAAAGCTTCCTATATTACCCAAAGAAATAAAACATTATATTTAGCTGCCTATATTACCAGAAAAGGTTGAACATTATGTTAAGGCTTCCTATATTACACGAAGAAGTAAAAAAGTATGTCAAAGCTTCCTATATTGCCCGAAGAAGTAAAACATTAGGTTAAAGCTTCCTATATTGTCCGAAGAAGTAAAACATTAAGTTAAAGCTTCCTGTATTGCCCGAAGAAGTAAAACATTAGGTTAAAGCTTCCTGTATCGCCAGAAGAAAGAAAATATTGTATTAATGATTTCCATATTATTCGAAGAGTAGTAAAACATTGTGTTAAAGCTTACTATACTGCCTGAAAAAGTAAAGTATCGTGTTAAAGTTTCCTATATTACCCGAAGAAGTAAAACGTTATATTAAAGCTTTCTGTATTATCCGAAGAAGTAACACATTATGTTATAGTTTTGAGTCATGGGTGTGCTATAAGAGTGACAGTCAAATCCCAGTATTGGGTTAAACGAGAAAAGCCCAAGAGTTAGTAGCAGGTGCTTTTGAATAGTTGTCTTCCTTCAAGTCTAAATTCAAAATTAAGGACGAATAACATTTTACAAAGCTTCGCGCAAGAACTGTAAAACACACATTTCTAACATCTTACATAAGTTGTGCTTTTTCTCTACTTCATTGAATCACAAATCCGTGTAAAAAAATATATTTATTTGATTTTCCTGTACTTAAATTGCTTTATTATTGTTTTCTGAATTTACTGCTGTAAACGAGGTCAGCCGACGTCAAACATTTCATTCAAATTGTAACTTTTAATAGTTAACTAATCCTCTGTACCTTAAATTGTAAAACTTTATTGTTTACTTTTTATGGAACGAACATGAAAATTAGATCAAATTTAGATTAATATACTATTTTCTTCTCCAATATACTTTCAAGACTTTTATGCTTATAAAGTTTAATTACTTAATGAACGTTCCAAATGTAACAAAGCGAGATTTAGAAATCATGCTATGTATTGTAAGATCGCTTACAAAATAATTATTCTCTCAGTCCAATATTTCGTTTTAAGCAAATTCGTGGTCGAGGGATGATCTTTATCGTTTCCGATAAAGGCAGACCATGTATTTCAGGCTTAGGTATCAAAATCAAAATCACAAGACCTGATCGTTTCCGATAAAGGCAGACCATGTGTTTGAGGTTTAGGTATTCAAAGACACTAGAAATTAATATAACAAGCAAATATACGCTTGCATTTGAGAGGTTATCGTAATAATATCATTTAATAGATACATTTGAAAACTGGTAAAACGAGAGTTTCGAATTTTGATAAACTAACCCTGATGAAGTCGCAAAGGAGAAACGTTGGTTGAAATAACAATATATTCTTTTATATTTATCTGGAGTGCAAAGGTCGTTTTTTTTTTTCTAAACTTTTATCAAAGAGTGTTTGGAATGAATATGCCAAAGCTTAACACATACCAGTAATATCAGTATACAATGAATATGCCAAAGCTTAACACATACCAGTAATATCAGTATAAAACTAGCTTTAGCGCGATTTTATAATTGAATACAATATTTACTCGTATCAACTGAAACAGTTGTTTCTCGCGGGGGAAACAAAATAAATGCTGCAGCCGCTAAGTTTCTGAAACATTTCAAACACAACCTTACCAAAGTATATATCCCCGCAATGAAGCTTCCGTCTCGGACAGATCTTCTACAACAAGTGGTCAAGATCGCCATTGGCTCAGGTGAGGTTGTCATACGCAAGCTGTTTCATCTTTTCCCCGCAAACTGCCGTCTTCGATTAGACTACCGGAAAAGGAACAAGAGATGCATAAACCCAAATCGTACAGCACGAAGACTATTCCCAGCGGCAGCGGCGAATGGAGGAGAAAGAAAAGTAGCAGTAGTCAGACTTCGACTCGTATCGATTAGTCAGGTATACAAGCCACAAAGATTTCCATTGCATTTAATTCACTCTTTTTCACTCTTTGTGAGATATATTCTGAAACCCCTTTTTTTTTTCGGTATAGCTCGTGTTCACTGAGAATTACTAGATAGAATACTGGTTATACCTGGTAATATTACAAAAAATAATAAAAAAAAACACATAGTCATTCGTCTCAGCCCTGAGCCTCCTGCAGCAACAGAACGCTGATTGGTATGGTTGATGCAGACCAGATAACGTTTCTTCCCGGGTTTATTAATACTTTTTTTTTTTTGGTTCTACAAATTAGTGTGAAAATTCGCTATATTACACGCATCTCCACTCCCTGGTGTA